CAATAAAATAATATGCAGCTTGATGAGAAACATTTGACCTACCTTTGCCAAATTAAATCTGCAAAATCTGGTAAAGTGCATTCTTATATGACTAAATAAATGCTGCAAGGTAAAACAACAAAAACTGAGAAATGTAGCAGCAAACAACAAATCAGAAGAAGGTAATAAACCAATAGACAAATGAAATTTTAATGTTCTGAACAGCAAAGTTTATGTTTAATAGATAAATGAAGCATGCTAAGTAAATATATAAATAAAAAAAACTGCTGTCAGCTTTAATTTAATGCTGATTTTCTTCCATAATTTGCACTGACTAATTTTTAGGTTAACAACAACAACAACAACAATAATAATAATAATAATAATAATAATAATAATAATAATAATAAATAGACAAACAGGTTAGACTAATTGAAAAAGACTATCAGTTTATTTTAAATGGTAAAAGTGTTTACAGTCATGTGAACAGGCAGCTGGACTCAGATTGTCTCTTCAGTCATGAATGCTTCTGCTTCTGCTGGCACTGGTTCCACACATCACACACCGAGTCTCTCCTTGTTGCCGCAGGCGGCAAACGGCGGAGGAGCGCGAAGCGGAGAGACAGCAGGCCAACCGGATCCTCATGCAGCTGCAGCAGGAGGCCTTCCAGAAGACCATCAACCAGCCGGTGGCCCCGGACCCTCTGTGTCTGCAGAACAGCTCCCTGTACGCCCTGCAGAACCTGCAGCCCTGGAGCGAGAACACTGCAAAGATCAGCAGCGTGTCCGCCTGTGAGTAGAGCTCCCTGACACAGCTGGGCCTCAGGACGCAGTGACTGCATGATGGCAGAGCGGTCAGAGGGGCTGCAGCTGCAGAGGAGACCCCCAATGGACGTCCGTGTCTGTTTCCTTCTGCTGTCAGACAGACTTGTGCTGCTGTCAGGGGTCTCCCAGCACTATTCCCATCAAATGGGAACCACCCAGCCTGAGGAGGACTCTCCTCCCCACCTTATGGGTGACTTCATGTCAGAGACATATTTTTATATGGTCCTCCTGTTTTTGTTATCAGTCTGTGTCAGTATTTATCAGCCCTGTTATTGGACTTTTTTCAACTCAACTGCAAAATAACGAAGCACTTCTTTAATACCTTTGTATAAATTCAAATGTGTACTCCTTCAAAATGACAAATAACGTTTGCCTGTCTGAGTATATTTATTTAACCATATTACTTTTAATAGAAAGGCTCAAAAATGAATCTAATATTGGGAAAAATATAACACTTTTGGTGTACTTTACCACAGTATTTACTTTTGTGCTGGTTACCACCTTTCACATTAGGGCCCTGTTCAGAGCTGGCACTCTATAGACATCTTAAGCAAAYTTTGGAACTCTGCTTCATTCAAATAGTTGTCTGTCAAGTGCTTGTTCTTTTCACAACATTTTACAAGTAAAAGTGCACATGCCTCGTGTCCTTTCGGAGAACACTGCACCATCGTAAGTATCAAATATAAATGTGCTTGTTCTGGTCCGTGCACTGTGAGCGGAGCCCTGTGCAACACTCAAAATCTCAGCTAACCGAGCCTTAGGGTAAAACGATTGCAGGTCGTCGACTCTGATTGAGAGCATTCATACCTGGCAGGTTAATGCAAACTTCAAAACATTTTTATGATAGGACGTCAGTTACCATTACAAGCCCTGGCAAAAAAGAATGGCATCACCAGTCTTGGATGAGCACTCATTCAGACATTTCATTCTGTAAAACAAGCTCAGATCAAAAACATGATACAATAATAAGGTCATTCCAAAGTGCAACTTGTTGGTTTCAGGAACACTCAAAGCAATGAAGAGAAAACATTGTGGAAGTCAGTGAATGTTACTTTTATTGACCAAGCACAGGAAAAAAAATGCAATCACTCAATTCTGAGGAAAAAAGTATGGAATCATGAAAAACAGATAAACAAAAGACCATTCAAAATACATCAGCAGTATTTAGTTGCACCACCTTTAGCTTTTATAACGGCTTGCAGTCTCTGAGGCATGGGCTTGATGAGTGACAAACAGTATTCTTCATCAATTTGGTGCCATCTCTCTTTGATAGCAGTTGCCAGATCAGCTTTGCAGGTCGGAGCCTTCTTGTGGACCAATTTTTTCAATTTCCACCACAGGTTTTCAATTGGGTTGAGATCTGGACTATTTGCAGGTCATGACATCGACTGAATGTGTCTTTCTCCAAGGAATGTCTTCACTGTTTTTGCCCTATGGCACGATGCATTGTCATCTTGGAAAATTATTTTATCACCTCCAAACATCTGTTCAATTGAACGGATGAGAAAACTGTCCAAAATGTCAATGTAAACTTGTGCATTGATAGAAGAATGAACCACAGTCATCTCCCCAGTGCCTTTGCCTGACATGCAGCCCCAGTATCATCAAGGATTGTGGAAATGTGGTTGTTTTCTTCAGGCAGTCCTCTTCATAAATCTCACTGGAATGGCACCAAACTAAAGTTCCAGCATCATCACCTTGTCCAATACAGATTCTTGATTCATCACTGAAGATAACTTTCATCCAGTCATCCACAGTCCATGATTGCCTCTCCTTAGCCCATTGCAGTCTTGTTYTTTTTTGTTCAGGTGTCAGTGATGGTTTTCTTTTAGCTTTCCTGTATTGAAATCCCATTTCCTTTAGGTGATTTCTTACAGTTCGGTCACATTCATTGGCTCCAGCTTCCTCCCATTTATGCTTCATCTGTTTAGTTGTACKTTTTCGGTTTTCAAGASAAATGKCCTTAARTTGTTTGTCTTGAHGMTTTGATGTCTTTCTTGGTCTACCAGTACACTTGGCTTTAACAACCTTTCCATGCTGTTTGTATTTGGTCCATATCTTGGATACAGCTGACTGTGAACAGCCCACATCTTTAGCAACCATGTGTGAAGAATTTCCTTCTTCAAGAAGTTTCACAATCCTCTTTTGTTTCAAGAGATATTTCTGTTGTTGGAGCCATGGTTCTTGACACTCCACTTCGTCCAGCAGCCCTCCAAGGTGTCATGACTGCAGGTGATTTTAACTGCAGACTAACGAGCAGATCTAATCTGAGGCAGGTGTCCATTTAGGGAAAAGGTAATTGACTGGGTGTGTTTTAATTTTCTACCTCCAATTTGAGTGATTCCATACTTTTTTCCCTGTTTTTGGTCAATAAAAGTAACATTCACTGACTTCCACAATGTTTTCTCTTCATTTCTTTGAGTGTTCCTGAAAGCCAACAAGTTGCACTTTGGAATGACTTTATTATTGTATCATGTTTTTGATCTGAGTTTGTTTTACAGAATGAAAYGTCTGAATGAGTGCTCATCCAAGACTGGTGATTCCATACTTTTTTGCCAGGGGTTGCATTGTTTCCAGTTTAACACAATTCAGATCCATTTACGTAGAATATTGTTTCTTCTTTCCAGGTCAACCCTACCTCCAGCAGTGATTCTAAGAGAAGTGAGGGACATCATGGTCAGGCTGCAAGTCCATTATTTTACATTGTATGGTCTGGCCCAGCCACAGTCAGCCTGGCCTTAATCAGCTGCTACTCAGCTGCTCAGAGTGCCCCAGCTAACAAGTTTTTCCAGACATGAGCCGACACTYGGATGATTTTTTGATTTGAGAGCAAAAATTTGGGTTTTGAGACAGCTTTCAACACCMCCATTATTTGGTGTAACGAAGGTCTGCCACAACATCCACCCAGCTTCTCCTGTCTCACCTGTTCCATTCCATTCATTATATGGGAAAAATTGATTCAATTTATGATCATGAGCTCTGTAACGGAACAGATTAAAGTCAAGGCACCACTGTAATCCATTGAGTCATATAATCTCAGGTTGGAAAAYTTTTAGCTAAAAAAAAACAAAAACAATAATACATATCCTCAGAGTATTTCCAACGATGGCTGTTTAACTATCAACCAGCAGCTGAACATTCTTTTCTCATTTTTACTCATTTTTATTAAAGTCCGGGTAGCAAATCTGCTGCCTGTGGCACGTCACATCAGGATGTCCTACATCCAGGCTCTGGATGGATTGTGTTTAGGAACTAAAAGATTGACCGAAGACAGTCTGAGTTTCTGTGTTTTCAATGTGCAATGATAGAGTTAACGCTTAGCACTGTCTAAATGACTGACAGATTTTAATGCCAGGTGTGAACAGGGTCCATGTTCGAGGGTGTGTGTGTGTGTGTGTGTGTAGTTGTGTTTGTTACCTTTTTAGGACCATTTCTTTTTAGGACCTACATTGGCAAGACCTGTGGTCCTCATGCGGACCAAAGACCTAAAAAGTTCCTAATATGGTGGAACTTCATTTTTGGGTCAGGTGTGAATTGAGGTAGGTGTAGGTTAAGGGTTTTTTTTTTTTTTTTTTGTGTGTGTGTGTGTGTGTGTGTGTGTGTGTGTGTGTGTG